CAGGTGTTCCCAGGAAACATTCCCTCAGCCAGCACCTGTTGAGCTGGGCTAGTTTGCTCCATTTGTTGTGGTGGGACATTCTCCTACTGCTTTGACTCGCAGTAGCTAAGCAAGGTCTGATGTTCTGTGTTTCTACTTGTAATTATTGGGGTTTTTTTATAACAGGAGATATTTTGGTCAAAATACTAAGGTGAGTTGCTTCAAGTCCTGCAGGGGTTCTGCCGTCCCTTTAGGATTCACTGTCCCATCCTGGAGAGATGGCTCCCTACCCTCTTACACGCCCTCATGTTCTAGGACAAAGCACTCATTTTGTCCCTAGGTGGTAAGCTGGTTCAAGCTATGATGCTTATTTGGATTCCTTTCATCATGTAAGGTGTTTGTTTCTTCTTATTTTGCTAGAATGTCAGGGCCTGAGAGATTCCAGGACAGTTCTGGATGCTTGTCTAGAAGGTAAGAAACTCATGTTGACCCAGATATAGTGAGTGCTAAGAATTTGCTTCCTGCGGAGTTCGTAAAGAAAAATAATAATCTAAAGTTTGGTGAAGCCATCTGATTAGAGAGAAAAATAGCAGGAGGGGAGTTTGAAATTCCTTTCTTCCTCTTTTATTTCCCCACTGACTGTTTCACACAGCCTAACTGTTGAACCAGCTTGGAGTAGATGTTGTTCTCCCTGTGATGCAGCCAGGTGTCCCCCAGCCCAGCCTCTCGAAGGGCTCTGGCGTGTGCCTACAGCCAAAGCAAAGTACAGAGCCTCAGGGCGAGCTTCTTCCAACCCCTGGCTGCAGGGAAATGCAAAGGGAGCAGAATAAGCGGAGTCACAGCCCCGCTGGGTTAATGGTGAACCAACATGAAGAAACAGGACTCCAGAGGTCGTGGTGTGTCAGGGACAGTGGGACTGAGGCTCCTCTTATTCCACCTGTCCTGGAATCTTTCCCTGTCTTCAGGGCATCTTCATTTTCGTTCTTCACTGGTGGAAGCCAAGCAAAATGTCTCTGGAGTCCCATAGGACTAAAACTAGCATCCCATTTCATAACCAGGAAGATGGCATGTGGAGCAAGAGGATGAACTTGTCCCAAGGCACAGGGAGAACTTGGGTTGGCGAGGAGGGGTCTCTGCCAGCTCCCAGCCTCCCCAGCCACTGCCATGCACTCTTGTTCCCTTAGTGCTGCCCTGTTCCCCTGCAGCTCTTGGCACCATCATTGCCAGAAAACCAGCCAGGAAAACAGGGGCTTCCAGGAACAGGGAGGCAGGAATAGTTTTGGATGTCGTGACATCAGCTCCTAAGTCAAGAACTGGGCTACAAGACCTGGAGAAGCTCTAATGATAATGATGAAAGCAGAAAATTGGCCCAGTGGGAAACCAGCAGAAAGCAGGGCAGGGTGGGGGTAGTCTCAGGAACTGCCCCATGGCACGAAAGAGCTTTCTGCTGTCAGGGAGCACGTACTGTGCTCTGCCTCCGTGCAGCAGATACCTCTGTGATGGTTATCTCCACAGAAGGATTGGGGTGGCTGAGGAGCGACTCGGGGCTGCTTTCACCAGGCATCACTGAGTGATGAGTGCTCTCTGAGCAAACCCAGAGAGATGGGAGTGCCGGCAAGAAACACCCCTGCAGGAAGGCTGCCGCACACCCCCCCAGTTGTAGCAATGAGAGAGACAGATGCTGCTGAGTTTTATGGAGGTGTAATGCACCTGTGCAAGTGTTCATTATGGATCCCAATAAGAAAGGCTCCCTGACCCTGTAAAATACTGATTAAAATACCATTTTTTGGATGTAACATTAGAAGGCAAAACAGGATAGTGTTAGATAATTTTACAGCCTTTTAGATGCTGGAAACACCAAGTGGTACAGCATCATCAGCCCACGCCCACTGCACAGATAGTGGTTGTGCTGAAGTCCACCAGTGTCATATCTTCAGGGGTTTTAGAGGAGTTTCTTGGAAGTAAACAACTCTACTTTTCATTTCTGCTGTCAATCAAAAGGATGTTCATGTAAGGATATGCTGCTTCACTCTGAAAGAGCACTAAAGAAGACAGAGCAGTGGGAGTATCGGGATGTAGCTGTGGTGGTGCTTTTTGGTGCAGGAGCAGGAAGGAAGTGGAAGAGAGGAAGCAAGAACATGAGAAAAAGGGAAACAGATTAATGAACCCAATTTGAACGTGCAGGGGAAATGCAAAATCTTCTGAGCATACTGAGATGAACTTTTGGACCCTTACCTGGAGAGCTGAGGAGCCTCTGGAGACCGTGAGAATTGCACTGTACAATATTTTTCACACAGCGAGACATGACGCTGTCCTTTCATGTCCTCAGAGGCCATCCAGTCACTGTAAGGCCAGGAAGCTGACAGCAAGCAAAACAGGTGGCACTGGAGAAAGAACACTCAGCCATAGCTCCAAGGCAGGACTTTGCTTCTGCAAATTGTGAAAAATGCTCTTCAAAAACCCCACAACAGTGACAGCTTATAAACACTTGGGAAGCTGCTTCCCAGCCACGTCTGGCATTAGCATCACCTTCAGATGATCAGAAGTGCTGCTCAACTCCAAGAGTAAAGCCCAGAAAAGTGCTTGAATAGCAACAATTAGGGGGGGAAAAAAAATGAAAGGAAGGCATTGTTCAAAGCTGCTGCTGTGAGACTCTTCCTGCCTGCCACACAAGTGCACCATCACCCCCTGAGAAGGTGACAGAGCAGCAGCACTGCTCATTAATGCTGTGGGTATCATCTCTACGTTATTCCCATCGACAGCCACTACCTTCCCTGCACCAGACCTGGCACCTGGCATGTGCAGCTGCATAGCTCCAAGGGGCAGCTACCAAAAAGACCCAGGTCTACGCAGGCAGTTACCTCCAAGACTGGTAATTCTGCCTGGGGCTGAGCCACAGGACCTTGCTGCCACAGAGAGAAGAGAGCACTAGTTTTTTCTTGGGTTTTTTTTATCCCATTTTAATATGCACAGGTCAGCAGAGCAGGCTGGGCTAGTCAGGTCCCAGTCTCAACCTCCACCACTTGTGCCACTGCTCCGAAGCCCATCCCCTCCTGGATGATGACCACATCACTTGGTGAGCCCTCATCCTGCACTATAACACACTTGTCCTTGTGCTCCGAGATGCTGATTTCAATGATGTCCTTTGCTGATGGCAAACACCCATCAGGCCTCCCGTGTGCCCCAGGATCTACAGGGCTGCATTGAGGCTGGTAACCAGCAATGCCGTGAGTGCTGGCTGTGATCAGCAGCTCAGTCTCATCTGCTGGCCCTGGTACCTCCACCATGAGCAAGGTGGGCTCTGCTGCAACCTCCTCCTCGTGGCCCTTCCTCGGAGGCATTTCCCTTGCTGCCTGGGGTAGGTCCTCAGCAAGTGACACCACTGCAGTAGGGAGTTCCTCACGGTTCTTTTCTGCCTTGTGGGTGAGCGCGTGGCGGGCGAGGCTCTGGGGAAGGGTGTAGCCCAGGCCGCAGAGCTCACATTTGTAGGGCTTGTCAGCCAGGTGGGATTTCTGGTGGCGGCGCAGCTTCGTGGCCAGAGTGTAGGACTTGCTGCACTGCTCGCAGCGGAAAGGGCGCTCGCCCGTCTGCAAGCACTTGTGGGCACGCAGCGTGTGGGGGTCCCGCAGTGCTTTGCTGCAGACGGTGCAGAGGTGGGCCTCGCCCGTGTGGGAGATGAGGTGTCGCCGCAGCTCCGGCAGCTTGGGGAAGGCGTCACTGCAGAAGCGGCACTTGTAGGGCTTCTCGCCCGTGTGTAAGCGGAGGTGCTCGCGCAGGTTGCTCTGCTGTCGGAAGTCCTTGCCGCAGTAGGGACAGGCGTAAGGGCGTTTCCCTGTGTGCAGGTGCACGTGGTTGCGCAAGGAGCCGGGGGTGGCCAGATGATGTCCACATATGGCACACTGGCATCCCTTAGGACCAGCGGGACCGGTCCCTGCGGCTATGTGGATCTTCCTGTGACTGCGGAGAGAGGGCCGGCGTGCAAAGGTCTTGCTGCACTGCTCGCAGGAGAAGGGGCGCTGGCCCGTGTGCAGGACCTGGTGCTCCTGCAGGTCTCGCTTGGTGCGGTAAGCCTTGTCGCACTGGGTGCACGGGAAAGGCCGCACGCCCCGGTGGGCCAACGCGTGGGCCTTGAAGCTCTCCTCTGAACTATAGCTCTTGCCGCACTCTGTGCACAGGAGGGGCTTGTGGCCAGCATGGACAAAGCGGTGCTTCTTGAGGTGGCAGAGCTGCAGGAAGGCTTTGCCACACTCCCCACAGCAGTACCTGCGCTTGACCATCTCCTTCTGGGACAGAGCTTTTGGTGACGGGCCTGAATGACCCCCTACCTCCTCTGTAGGATCCTCCTACCCCTCAGTCGCCTCCAGCAGGGCCAGTTTGGAGTCTTTGGAAGTGTTACTCTCTGTCTCACAAGCCTCTATGCTCTCTCCTTCAGAAGGACAGTGTTGTTGGGATTCCTGCCCCCCTCTCCTGGCCCTGCAGGCACTGCTGGAGCTGGCTGGCCACAGCATGCACCTTGCAGGGCTTGCCATCTGTATGAGCACCAAGTCCTACCCACTTTGAGGGTGGCAGCACATCCAGATCTCCTGGACCTGCCTCTCTATGTCCCATCTCTGCTTTTTCTGATGCAGATCCGGGATCCCCACCCCCATCTAATTCTTCCTTGCACCTGCCATTGGCCTTAACAGTTGAGGTGGGGTTGAGGTGCTGATCCTCAGTCCTCAGCACCTTGGCTTGCCACAGCTCATGTTCAGAAGTTGTGCTTTCCTGTTCTTGCAGCCTGTGGAAACAGGTGGTGGCTGGCCTGCTGACCTCAGCAGGACCATCAAGGATTGTGGCTTCATCAGGTACCACCTTGGAGAGATCAGGCTCCCCTGCACAAACGCAAAAGCACAGCACCTGAGTTAATGCTGGTGCTTGTTACACGACATGATTCCTGTTCCATCAGAGGAACATGAACCTCAGAAGATCCTCTGCTATCCCCTAATCCTGCGTCTCGGCCATGCAAGCCGTTACTTTTATGAACTTTTTTCTTTTAAATGGGGGAAGACGGGGGGGACCCTCTGTTCTCTCACCCCCGTGCACCATTTCTAGGAGACAGCATCACCCCTGGCATAAAACCGCCACCACCCTCATTTCCTGGCTAATAGCTCTTAAAAGCGACCCGGAGCCCCGCCACCA